CACCACGAAACTCTCGAAACCAATATTTGACGGTGTAAACTGACGGAGCATTAGCCCCATAATATTTATCCAACTTTTCTTTTGTTTTCTTCGCCGTTTTGCCTCTAAAAAAAATAATGTTTTATGAGAGAACGAAAATCGTTTTTATCCATACTCAACACGATGCCAAACACGTTAACAACAATCAGCTGTCAAAACAAAACTAAAGACAGTATCGCACTGAAATTTGGCATGCCTTCCTAAATATGAACGGACTACAAGGCACCATAACCTTTTGACGTAGGACTACGTCTTTGATTTCTATATGGGGGTACACTTTGTGAAAATTAAGAAAGATTTTGAATGTTAATAACTCAGCTGCCCCTGGTCCAATTTCAATAATTTTATCACCAATCGATCAGAAATATGGCTATGATTCCGAATGTTGATTTTCAACAAGAAACTATTGAAAAACTGGTAAATGTCCAGCATTGTCCAAAAGCGTCGAATTAACCAACAAATCCACCAATTACCTACATGCATATGCTGCTTCCCTAGCACAGTCGTCAGAGAGTAGTAACTAGACGAAACAAGTCGAAGTGGCATTCGCCTCCGATCCTCGGGCACGTGCGAATAGGGAGGATGGAATTGCGTAATATTTTGCACACTCATCGCCATACTCAGAACCACACGCTCCCAACGACCACACCACTGTGTGGTGGTGTTCGGTTGTCGACATTAGTAGCAGCAGTAGCAGTGCTTTCGGCGTGTGGTGTTGAAAATTGTTCTCCAGTAGCAACAAAAGGCTGCCTGCAAAGCGAGCTGCAGAGCCCACATAAGCAACCATCAAAGGAGGAAGAAGCTGCACCGCTATGCTATGGATCGGAATCAGTAGCTCTTCGTGAGTTGCTGCGGGTCGGTCATCTATGCCAAGCGTGTCACCCTCGCTCCAAACGACATACAGCTCGACAGCCTCATCCGTGTTGAACACCCAGCTCAGAATTACTCAACCATCACTACAAAACGGTCCTTTTCAGGGCCACCAAAAATTTGTTAAAGAGTATTATTTGGACATTGGTCAAGGTCATCAGCTCCCGCAAGCAGCTAGCTATCAAGGCTCAACCTGTATTTAGAAGGTGTGGAATTGTAGGCCTGAATGTATTGATGAGATTCATCATCGTCCGACCATTTTCCAGAACACGCTCGTAGGAAGTGTTAAAAATCCACTTAGAATTTGAGAGAAGTGGGAATAATTGGCTTTGGGTGTATATTCAGTCAATAAAAATCAAATTTGTGAGAAAATTAGCTCTCATGAGTTCAATCTCTCGAAGTCCCTCCTTTTTTACATATTCTGCACAAACGATACTTTCCACCCCGCCCCATTCATATAATTCGGAAGGAAATCCTGTGAAAAGGAAATTGAATACACTTTAATACCAAAATGCACAAAACTTAAAAATTCATAAATAACAAAAAAATCAAAATACATCTTTTAAAGTCGGGTAGATGAATCGAAATTGACAGTCCCTTGGATTCTCTTCATCAACTTTCTCTTTGAAATAAATACTACAAATTTGATACGCTAACAAATAAAAAACGGAAAGAGTTAAGATAATTGATGATTGCGAGGGAGAAGACTCTATCTACGCTGCAGTAAAGATTGTGTTGTGCTGTGGCTAGCTGCTCACACGCTGAGTAGATATAAAGAAGATTAATGACGATTCTGAAGATTTCCTGCAAAAAGATGATGCGCGATGCATGTAGATGCGAGAAATGCAAAAAGATTTGGCGAAGATTGATTCGCTAGTGTGAGATTTTTTGAGCATCTAAAATTGAGATTTAGATATGTCGCCCCCCTTGGATGATTGATCAATTAAATTAACTAAATTTTCACATTTGTTCCGTCCACTAGCGGTCCTACGTCAAGCTTCCGTTCGTGCCCCTAGGCACAGACCCTTCTACTTTTTTGCAGTAGCAACGCATTCTGGTGGTCAAGGAGGTTGCTTTTCACCCACCTAGTACAGCACATCAATTTTAATTAAATTTTCTTTGTAATCTTCGAGTTTTACACTAGTCAATCGGAGACAACAGAACGGGTTCTTGTTTTTGATGATCCGAAATGCCCGTTGGAAATGACCAATTTCCTTTGCGCAAGAAACCTTACTTGTGGCAAATAAAAAAAAATCATGATTTTGTTTACATAATAGAGCTTATACTATTGAGTTGTTTGCCCAAAATAACACATGGCCTTTGATTATCGAAGTCATAAAAGATGTCGCAATCACAGAAAAGTCAACAATAAATTGTTTGGATTCAACGCATGTATCAAAATAAATATTTTTAAACCTTTTTCGAAGCTGGTTCTGGGTATACTGATGTGACCAGATCCACCTGTTGGTCGATGGCATGGTGTCTATTTACTTGAAGATGATAAATCTTTGAACCCTCGGAACCGGTTCCGGGTACCCGGTTGTGGCCAAATCTACCTGTCGGTACATGACATGATGTCTATTTAGTTCTGGATGAAAAATTAAAATTTTAAGCCGTCGGACGATACCAGTACATGAAGTTTTGGAAGTGTCCTTTCGTGCCCTATCGGAACTGGTGCCAGGTAGCCTTTACGTCAAAATTGGTAAAATCCTGAGCAGGGTACCATTCTAGGAACCTTTATCTTTCATTTAAGGCTAATAGATCAAGAATTGGTTCAAAAATTGATTTTCTTTAGCGAATTGCAGTCTGCGTCTTTTTTGACCCGCTAATGCACAATGTGTCACTTTTTTGTAGTGCCACACTCTTATAGGTCGCTAAAAGCTTCTTTTTACAGCAGAATGTTTGTTTCCAAAAGTCGGTAAAAGTCAGGAAATTTCAGGTCTCTGTCATATTTCTTTACAAAGTTACAGCTGTTTTTTAAAGTGACGCCGGGTCAAAAAAAGACCCTAATGCACTAGGAAGATTAAATTTATATATAAGTTGGTCTGAGGTAAATTGCATGGGATTTCTAAGGAGTTAAATTCAGTGGTAATCTATTTACACGATTTTTTTAACCTTGTATTGACCACTCGTCTTTCAACACTTGGGGAAATTAGATGGTTCAAGGCGTATAAGAGTCGTGATACCCGAAAATCATCATAAGTCACGCTTATGAAATTCATATACGTTGTTCAGAAGTCGAGCCTCATGAAATTCTTAAGTCCATTTGCGTCAGTGTAGAAGACTTAAAATGATAGGGCATATCAGCCAGCATACCGGCTATTGGTGGACTGTTCAAAGAATCACCATGCTCAGAAAATAATGATCTTAATTTTTTTCTCAGAACAATACCCTCCCCTTGGCTAGTTTTTAACTTGGACGTTGGTGGGCGGACCTAATCTTATGCTTCATAGTGGAGTGTTGGAGATGGTTGGTTTAGGTCCGGCATCGTTGGCTCATGTCGTGACAGAATAGCGTCATGAGCATGCGATGAGGATTACTGAGCTTCCCCTCTCTGATGAACCATTGCATAAGAGAACCAAAGTTCTAGCCTGAATTGATAGTATCATACTTGTTACTCCTTTATTTGAAAGCCACGTTGTAGTACGCTTACGTATAGGCACTGACGTTGGGTGCGATACTGGCGGGTTTTGCCGCAAATCGCTCGTATTTTATTTATTTCTACGCAGATAGATTTACTTGGGTTTGCAAGGGAATTATACTATCGAAATATTTCAGAAAGTGCCCAACGGTGCTGCTTCTATTTGCGTGACAAGCTTTCATTGTTGTTTTCATTGAAGCATTACTCAGGGAACAATATTAAACACCACCATGGTATTGTAACTAATCTTATATATGCTTCATTTTGGTTTGGGATAAGTGTTTGAACTATGGCTCGGGATTTCCACTGTGGCGTGCTTCTATTGTGACATATTCATACGTAATTTTTTGGGACGACATAGTGGAAACGTGTGAGTGTAGTTGGAGCATATACCTTATATAATTTAAAAATCAGCTAGGAAACTAATTTCAAAGTGAAGCATTTTCGTCACTTGAATGTGTCACCTGGGTCGATCTAAGATATAATAAATATAGATCAAAGTCAAAATTACTTGAAACACGTTAAATTTTAGATTAAATAGCAGTTTAGGTACTTAATAAAGCATGAGTTATGATTGAATAGGTAAATTAGAGATTTCAATTATTTATTAAATTAGACTAATGAGATATCATAATCATCAAAAGAACTTAAATAAGAAAATTTAGACAGCCTAATAACATTAAGTAGATTAACAAAAGAGTTATGATGCGGGGGGTCCGCTTAGGGAGGCAACTAGCCTTTTCATATATTGTCTGTTCAAAATATGGTTGCTTTAAAATATCAATTTGGTATATATGTGAAAGGATGAATCAGTGGGAGATGGATTTTCGGTTTCTTTACATTTTGCAATACAAATCTAGTACTATGTGTCATTTCCTCAAAATCCCCCAATAACCGACCTCTTCAATCCCTTCCTTTTCCCATGGCGTTCAAGTGGTCCGCATAGACTATTCAGCCATTACCCTTCCATTATCCTCGGCTTTGGATTGACTTGCGCTCCCATTGCCCCACCAAACGCTGCAAAATGAAAATGAAATGAATTTTTTTCTCAGAACAATACGTCATTTTGTACTATATAATCGGCAATTAACGGACGTGTGAAAAAAACCAAAACCAAAATGCATTATTGTGAAATTTATCCATGGGTCCAATATTAGCGCACTTAGGCCGACATTAGGGTCATCCACCCTATGTGGAATTTAAACTATTAACATTTAACATTATCTACTCGCTCAGAATTGGCATTGACGGAACCGTCGAAAAATTTTCTCTTCCAGCAAATATACACAATTTCTTATGGGAATTTTCGGTGAAGTGAAAAGATGGTACAAGGTCCGCCATGGTTCACGCACAGTCTCACTTTAGCTTATGGATTTTCTCATAGGAGTAAAGAGCTGCAGAGTAGCCGTTAACGCCAATTCTGGCAAAATATTCTTAACAATAATCTCACCGTGGTAACTCAAAAACATCTGGCATCCTGGTATTGGTTTGGTATCCACACTTTCACTTTGAAACTTAAAAAATAATATCACAATTTATAGCAACAAAAACAAAACACTTCTATCTTTTCTAGACTGCAAATCAAAATAAAAGTCACTCACACTTTTGGCGCGCTTTCCTCCAGACCGTGTTGAGTTACTCCTCGTCACCAGTCAACAATCCATAATGATAAAAGAATGACAACACTGTTGAGTGGCGACGAGGATTAACAGTTACTGGTGAATGGAGCTTCTTTGCCTATCGTCGATGGATTGATTATTTAGTAAATAGTGTTTGACAATACTGTCTTTCTGTACTGAGAACATTTTTTTAACAATAACTGAATGCTATTGGTTTTAAGTTTAAGTAGGTTCTGCCATGGCGGCGCAAATACGGTGCGTCACCAAACGAAAGAGATCGAGGCCACAGCAAGCACACACGTAATCCACACTGCCTCGAATCGTAATTTGTCTGCGCTAATCGCTATCAGAAATAATTTCCAAAATTTATGAATGTTTGACAATCGGCGTAATTAGATTTTGCAATGTCACACATGATTTGCACTCGTTTCACAGCAAAAGCAATAGGATTGCTAGGAGGATGGATGACGACGGTGGAAGTGTTGAATTTTCAATTTCAAATACTCGCGTTCGATGGCTATAAGCCAAAAAATCATCGCATCCATATCGGTTGCATGATTTGTGAATTGCGATCGGTGTGAGATTGAACATTGAACTCGGTGGCGGTCGGCGGTGGTAAGAAGTTTCTGTTGGAATGTTTTTTTTGTGTGGGGAAAAATGATACTGTGAGACGCGGTTCGAATAGGGTAACTTAATTCATTATTATGTTGTTGAGAATTGATAAACAAAATCGTGTGTTTTTATCATTAATGAATTGAGTTATGAGCTGAAACTAGTCCATAAACAATGTTTCAATAAAACGGAATTGAATTAATTATTACATTATCCTATTTACTTTCATAAGATATTATGCAGGCGATCAAAAATGATGGCTGGAGATTACTATTGGCAAGTTTTAAGTTGGTGTAGATTTCTGATGCTATAAGATTAATTTCATTGGCTCTTCTTTCACTCAATGACAGGAAATTATACTTGGGAATTTAATCGAAGATTATATGAAACAAGTGCCTCATAATATATATTTGAGCAAACGAAAACATCTCTATTGCAATTCGTATACAGTACTTGTTTTTTTTTTAGTATTTGGAAAGAGGTCGCAGTTTATGGAATGCCTATCTTCTATTTAAAATGAAGATCTCCGACAGTGTCAGCAAATCCTAATTACGGACCTATCGAATCCACGTCAACGAATCTGCACCTTGTCAGCTCACATGGACAGGCGAATATTAATCCATGTCGACGGCAAGCACAAGCGCCGCCCAAGTTGCTGCTGATCGCACGCTCTTCATAAGAGGAGCTGGATTTGGGCGATGGATTGGTTCCTGCTGGCTGACGATGACGGTGGCGTGGTGGACAGATTGAGGTAAAAATAGCAATCAAAGACGCCGAGGTGTGCCGAGCTGTAATTCACGCGGAAGAGAGAAACATTAGAATAGTTATTACACTTTCAAGATGATGATGATGATGATGATGATGATGATGGTCCCACCTCTTACCCCTACAAAGGTTTGAGCTGGACGAGTTATCTTTAAGATAATTAAATATAAACATTTTAACCAGGTTTGCAAACAAAATCGAGCTGGTTACAATTACAGATATAAATGTCCTGTTAAATATGCTATAGGCATCAACCAAAAACATTCAAAGGTGTAGCTAGTTATCAAAAGTCCAAGTATAGTCCTCGACAATACTTCCATTTACACGTGACCTGGGATTTACACGTTTAAGCTTCCGCAGTGCCAGGACTATATCCAAGGAAACGACTTCCAGCCAATCCTTTACTAATTTAAGGCTTTTGCCACAATTTCCACGTATTAGTCATCCGACGTGTGACAGAAAGGAAATTAATTTATCTAGATGAGCGCGTGCTCTGCGGAATTTAGTAGTTAGGGTGTTATCCGGGGGATCCAGTCTATCTATAGTTTACTAATTGAAAAATGTTCGCTAACCATTACGTATATCACGAACGTGTGGATTTTGATTGCAGAACTATACAAATACAAATACAAAATGGTAATGATTGATGAAGGTTCAGGGGTCGCGCAAATGGTTTGAAGTTTCCATAGATGGAAGCAATTTAAATTTTACAAATACAGTGCTTTCTCGATTTTGTCAGCTCCCAATTCGTCTACCCCCGATTTTGTGTACTCTAGATTTTGTCAGCTTTTTCCCCGATTTTGTCAGCCTACACAGTTCACTAAATTGTTCAGTTTGCAAACATGAATTTTCAAACTTCTCGATGCACCCTTCGAAACATAGGAAAATCCACGACCCCTCATTTTATCTGTCAAACTTTCATAGCGAATCAAAACAAACATGGTGTAGAACTAGACTATCGACAAGAATGGGATACGTTCACCATTGTACTGGGGACCGATCAACCGTCTACGTTGGTTTACAAATTTACATTCTAGTCGAAATTCTAGCACTACACTAAGTTTGTTTTGATTTGCTATGAAAGTTTGACAGATAAAATGAAGGGTTCGTGGATTTTCCTATGTTTCAAGGGGTGCATCGATTAGCTTGAGACAGAAGAGACTACCAGCAACCGGTGGAAACTAACGATTTTAAATTGGCTCACTACTTGACTAGCCTATTGGTCCCAAGCAAACGATTAACGGACCTCATTCTAGTCAAAATTCTAGTACTACACAATGTTTGTTTTGATTTGCTATCAAAGTTTGACAGATGCAATGAGGGGTTCGTCGATTTTCCTATGTTTCGAGGGGTGCATCGATTAGCTTGGGACCGAAGATAGTACCAGAGCTGAGCCAAAAAGTTGAGCACGTTTCTTCGGGCCTTTCTAGTCTTAGAGTTACCTCTATGCTACTCCTGAGTGAGTCAATTTTTTTTTTCTTTGGTTTGTTTTTTCCGTCGATCTTGTTTTCCGTGCTGAGCACCAATGCTACCGACGTGCCAGGAAGGCAGCTCCCACACCTGGACCCTACCTATCGACCCATCAACTCATGAACCGGGGACCAACGGCTTTACTTCCCATCCGAAGGATCAGAGATGTTATGCCTCAGAACATCCCGGCGGCGCCGACTGGGATTGAACCCAGGCCTGCTCGGGTGAGAAGTAATCACGCTTACCACTACACCACCGGCGCCGTTAGTGAGTCAATTTTAAATCGTTAGTCTCCACCGGTTGGTACTATCAACCATTTAGCTTGGGAACCAACAAGTTGAGCACGTTTCTTCGGGACTTTCTGGTCTTAGAATTACCTCTATACTATCAACAATCAATTCGAAACTAACGATTTTAAATTGGCTCACTACTTGACTAGCCTATTGAACCCAAGCAAATCGATTAACGTACCCCATTCTAGTCAAAATGCTAGTATTACACAATGTTTGTTTTGATTCGCTATGAAAGTTTGACAGATAAAATGAGCGGTTCGTGGATTTTCCCGAGGGGGGCGACACATCTAAATCTCAATTCTAGATGCTAAAAAAATCTCACACTAGTGACTAAATCTTCGAAAAATCTTCTCTCATTTATCGCATCTACTTGCATCGCGCATCATTTTTTTGCAGGAAATCTTCAAAATCGTGATAAATCTTCTTTCTATCTACTCAGCGTACGCGCAGCTAGCCACAGCAAAACAAAATATTTCCTGCATCGTAGATAGAGTCGCCCCCCCCCCCCGGATTTTCCTATGTTTCGAGGGATGTATCGATTAGCTTGGGACCGAAGATAGTACCAGAGCTGAGCCAAAAAGTTGAGCACGTTTCTTCGGGACCTACTAGTCTTAGAGTTACCTCTATGGTACTATGATCTCATGCACTCATAAAATAAATCACATAATCAGTGGAAAATATCCATGTGAATTTCACAAAACTTTCATGAGATCTCTGAAGTCTAAAACGCGCACAAATTGGTTGACGTATTTGGAAGTTGAGTGTATATACAATGGTTGCTATGATGAGTTTTCACCGTTTGCTCTCCAGTTTTCAAAATGACGGCCAAGCAAGAGGAGCAGCGTGTCAAAATTTCTCTCGTGCAGTGATGCTGTCACCTACACTAAACACGCCACGCGTTTTGAAGCGACAGAGACGCACTCTGTTTGGTTTCGGAGGTTAAATCATCACAAACTTTGTCAACAAAACGGCTCTTCTCAGGGCCACCAAGCTTATTACAGTAAAGAGTAGTCCTAGAATATGGAAAAACAGGCAGATGAATTCTATTCCTGAATAGAATTCATCTGCCTGTTTTTCCATACAACCGACCACACAAAATGCTCATGTAATCAAACTGGAAGCAGGGGTACAAATTATTTTGATCAACCTTGATCAATGTTTGAAGCAACAATCTAGCATCTAATTCGACGAAGACGGTAGGAAACATTTGTGAAGCCGAGTTATTTACGAAAGAGAGTATCGATGAAGAGAATCGATCAATGTAGATAGGACCTATTGAAAAGTGACGCAAGATTTGTTTTCCGTACTGAGCTCCAATGCTACCGACGCCAGGGAGGCAGCTCCCACTCCTGGACCATACCAATCGACCACCAACGGCTTTACTTCCCGAAAGAAGGCGTGATCAGAGATGTTATGCCTTAGAACATGGTGGCGCCGACTGAGATTGGATCCAGGCCTGCTGGGGTGAGAGGTAATCACGCTAACCACTACACCACCGGTGCCGATATCTTTCAATGTGATAACACGGCGAATTAGAACGACCCAAATTTGAGTTTAGTCAACTCATAAATCACATAAAGTGAAAGAACTCAGCGATGAATAAATTTGCCTCATTTTTTTCCAGGTTTTCCAGGATTTTCCAGGGAAAAATTCCCGAATTTGAGAAAAGTAAAGATTGGATTCACTTAGTCTATTGGTACTACTCCGAGACTGAATAAAATTTTCGTCAATT